TTAGTTGAAGGAAAGGATCATTTAGAGATGATTTCAATTTGCCCTATCACAATCAGCTAATCATTGACCTACCATTTGTGTGACTTTAACATGCACGCTTCCCACTTCGAAGCAACCCAGAGCTCCAACAAAAGGTCGCCAACAACTTCAAGGCGCTTATTAGTCACAGCTCTTTCAGTTCAACCCTTGCCAACCCTAAACTTCTATACACTTGGCATTTAGTTAGGAACTCAACTTGAGACAAAAAAAAAATGAGAGATGTAATATTCCATTGAGCAAGCTAGAGTATGATGTGTACAAGAAATTCTGTTTCAAGGATACTATACTTTATGCTTTTCTTCATATATTTTTTATGTAATCCTCGTATCCCTATAAATAAATGAGATCAGTTTGCCTGCATATTAATTAAACCAAAAACATAATTGATATAGTAATCACAACAATATTGCAATAGTTCTGCAAAAACAAAACAACTAAATTCAGCACAAGTGGTAGTCAGGTATTAAACTATTAATATTATATTTGATCCTTATTAATTTCTCTATTTTTTGGCTAGATTAGATAGAAAATATCGGGTAGATCAATCCAATGCTATTTGAGAATTTTTCCATCTCACGAGAGATCTGAGAAACACCATCACCTAACAAAATTTATAAAACTTGCATTTGAATCAGGATAGGACAATATTATGATAGAACAAGTCATACTACTTCATTCATATTTTTTTACCTCGGATGGGTCTTTCAGTGAGTAGTGAGCTTCAGTCTCTTTTGGTACTGAAGAAACCAGAATACCATAACCTCTATTCAGTTCTCTTAAAACCTTCAAAGCAGAAAGCCACTGAGATGAGAAAGAGGTCCTTGTCATATAAATTTCAGAACTTAGCTACTAATTATTTGATTTACCTTGAAGGCATCCTCATCAGTACGATCATCGCCGATATAAATGGGAAGGACATCGTCTCGATCATTCAATCCTAGGCATTCAAGCAACAAGTTGACAGCTTTCCCTTTATTCCAATCAATTATAGGGCGGATTTCTAAAACCTGCAAGTTGAAATCCATTAAGATAAAAAGATTTAAGCAAATAACAAAAACGGCAGATTGGTCATTTTTACCTTCCGCCCATGTGTTAATTGCAGATGAGGATAGTTCTTGAGGATGTCATGTACGCGCTGGGCAATTACAGTCCAATTCTGCATGACAAAAACATATTAAACTCTTTAAAGGCTGTTTGGTAGCAGGACTTAGGTCAGATTTGAGGCCGATTTGTGACAAATCCAGCCAAACGACCTAAAATGCAAAAATCAAATCTCACGGAAAACGAAATCTCTGTAGACGAAAAATTCTGCCGATTCGCTCTAAATCCCGGATTTCCCAAATCATGTATTTTGCCGGATTTATGAAATTCATGACACTTGAGGAAGAGTTGACTCTGTAAATTATGATCTATATCCAAACAGTTACATGAGATTTAAGAGGATTTATCATGAATGTTGCAAAACAATTTTCAGGATTTATGCCCCTCAGGATTTTTGAAATCTAGATTTAGAGAATTTATGAAATCCTATTTAAATCAAATTCAGTGTTCTACCAAACAGCCCCTACGTGTAAGTATTAAGAAATCTAAGAGAAAATCTCTGCAATGATATTGTTACGATTTCAAGCAATTAAGATAAACCTTCTCATCCACGAGGCGGTAATGAACAGATAAGCAAAACTTATTATTCTCAACTTTTGACCCTTTAATGTCCTTAGTTTTGTCGATGAGACATTTAAAAACCTGTTGAATGGAAAATAAATAAATAATAATAATTAACGATGAAAGAAATCATTGTTTGAAGTTCAAAAGTAAATAGTACCTCATTGATAATTGGTAAGAACTTGCTTGCAGGTTGGAACAAGTTTGGTTCCTTGCCCTGCAGAATTTATTGAAACAAGTTGTGTGTCAGTCATTTGATTTGAAAAATAGAAAATAATTTTAGAAGAAATGATACTTAACCTGCTTATAATTACGCCTAATGCAACTGTGATGGCTAAATAATGAGTTGGAATTTTTGACTGGGCAAGCCAAGTCCATGCCATGGCTACCAGCATAGAAAAGTTCTTTCAGTCCAATCAATTCGTAAACCTGACAACAGACAAATACAAAACAGGAATAACAGTTAGATTTTCCAGCCAAAACTAACATCTGAAACATGTATTATTATGTACAAAACAAATGCAATAAAAATGGTCACAAGAGTACCAAGTAAGAATATCACTTACGTACTACCTTATCACGACTTCTTCCACTGATAATCGCAGCTGGAAAGAATTTAGCAACATCTTTAACAGCGGAGCGCATCTGAAATCAAAGAAAAATAAGTTAAAAACTTAGAAAAATCAACTGCAACTCCAGAAAACAAAGTGGCTGGGTCTTTATTCACCGCACTGGACATAAACGCATTGTCGGGATTATCCACAATAGGTGAAAGAGTTCCATCATAATCCAAAAACAGTGCTACCTTTTTTCCCTTGGCGTAATTTGTGATTTGCTCGAAGGATGTAAGAGCTGAAGGATATTTCTTCTACAAAAAAAATAGGAATCTGTGTTGGGAAAGAAGCACACCGAATTTTATCTGAACAAGTAAATCCAAAATCAAGTACTATGAATCATAAAATACCTTCAAAAGAGACCAAACATCACGAGAAAGAAAACCCTACCCTAAGATTTGCAGAGCCTACATCTAAGAGAAAGGATAGAGAATCCAATCTACTAATAAAGAAGCCACAATTTTATTTTCTAAAACCAAAATACACATTCATTCAACAAAGAAAAAAGAGAAGCACAAATCTCTCAAACAAATTAGAGGAAATAACTTAAAACAGATAATAAAGAAATTGGATTAAAGAAATACTTGAACATTTCGCTCTTCAAAACTTTCTCCCCCCAAAAAAAAAATCTTTGCTTATTTAAACGATTTTTCTAACTCATGAACATGAATTTCTTGTGATTTCATGTTCTCTCTCTCATTTCTCAATTTCTTCTCAATTCCTTCACAAGAAACTAAAAACTCTCTTACACTTTTATGCTAAATAAGCTTTTAGACATCAACTAACATAGCCATCAACCCAATGCAAAACTATTCATGCAAAATCACCAAATAATTTTCAAAATTTTATGCAAG